TTGCACTTATATATATGTTGCTGATGTCACAAGAGGTGCTTTCAAGTACCATTGGAAACGTGAGAATCCGGCGATGATGGCGGTTTACGTATTGTACAGTTCTGGACAAAAGGTTATAAAAGGAAAAAAGACATACAAATAATTCGATTTTTTTTCTTCTCATTTTTTCTGTTATATTTCCTCCAATTTTTGTTGGAGGAAAGCAGCCCACATTTTAAAAAAACCCTGAGTAATTTGGAAAGTACTTCCCACATTTAAAAAAAACCCTGAGTAATTTGGAAAGTAGAAATCTAATAATACCCATATAAGTATAGCTATTCGCCCAAACTGGAAACTGGTACTCGTATCTTGGTAAATGAAATCACACATAGGTTGAAAAACAGTAATCTAAAAATAAAAACTCTGGATACAATCTTCTTTATGCAGCAAAATGTTGAAAATATTACATTCATAAGGCATAAGGCATTACTTGCCAATTAAATGCAGTATAGTGGTGTTTGCAGTTTTTCTTCTGTTTTTTTAATGAAGCATAACAAAAAAAAAACCCAACAAAAATATGTTTTGTTTTTTTCTCAATTCTAGTACCCTAATACACCTCATCTCCCCATGTCCAAGCTGTGGTTTAGGCACATCATTGGATTTAATGAGACCAAAACCCTTTTTTCCTTCTGAAAAGGTTACAGTATACTTAGCATCTAGCTTGTAGCGTCGTTTTATTTATATATTTTTTAGAGCATGTCATAGTTTTTACCAGCTTCTGCAAGTTCTTTTCCTAATTATTTTTATTATTTAAACATATCACACATCTGAGCAATGCTCTGGGTGGTGAGTCTGACTCACAGCCTGCTGCAGCAGTTTTATCAGTGCTGTAAAAACTCCCGTTTCTTCAGACAGATAACACGATGAACGGCGCTCACTATTCATTTTATTCCTTCTGAAAGCTTAATAAAAGCTTAAATGTAGTCTGTCAAAGTATTGGACGTCGAACATTACCTGAGCCGTGTATTTTGTACGGACCGAATAATTTGTTAAAATACGTACACTGCCTCTGTTAGCCTCTTAACTGCAGTCTCGAGTATAACAGGGGAGACTTAGTGGTTGAGCAGGTTTACTCATTAAATGTACTTTGGATACTTTACACATTCTGTGTACATTGATACTAGTTCTGAATATATTAACATAATTATTACAAACTGCATGATAAGCACAGCATTACCGACTTGTTACGGCTTTACTCGTCCAATTTCGGAGCCGGTCCCTGGACATTTTCACTGCCGTGAACTTTGCTCATTTTAAATCCTTTCAGCAGAGTACTTCCACTACAACTTCTCGGAAACCTGAGGGCTCACTGAGAACTATCCCGTTTATGTGTGTTTGCTTTATTTTTACGTCATTCCTCCCCTTTCCTCCATCCATTAAAAGTGTCTAATGGAGATAAATCAAGCCACAAAGTTGTTAAAAAACCTAATTCAAATATACGTTTTCCCAAGTATCCTGGGAAATTACCGCGTCAGTGACACATAATTTTAGCTCGGCGCTGGGTTTTCGTGAAAGCATCTTAATGTGGACATTAACATTTGAACCCTAATGATTTTGTGAAGAATGAACTCATCAAGACATCAGGACGAGCCCTGAGAATTTAGCAGGTTGGCCTTATATTACCTCTGTCAGCCCGTGGATGTTTGGGGGAGCAAGAAAGGTGGAAGTTTGAAAGTAAAATTTGTTGTCTGAATAAAGGCACCAAAGGAGGGGGCGTACCTTGACATCTTGTGGCTGTAATGTTGTTTTTATACAAATCTTTTAAATTCCCCTGCTGCTTTTCATTAACATCACAATGCTCTGCTTGAGAGCTAGTCAGTGACTCCTGCGTCCGTTTCATCGCCTTGTGCTGACGCAGGTAAATTAAACATTGTGCCAGACAGAAATATATACACACACTGTATATTAGACACACATGTCCAGCGGTGACTATGTAACGCTCCATGCATTACTGACGTAGCTTCTGCTAATGGAGAGAACACAGCAATCAAGTGTTCTATCATCTCCCGGTGAGATGTGTCGCATGTCTACACTTGACTTTGTGACAGTTTCATCCTCCGCCAGGATGATGCTTTCCTCACGTAGCCACTCGTGTTTTTCCTTCGTTGGCACCTGATAGCAATGGTAAGTCGTAGGGATGTCCGATATTACTTTTTCCCGATGTCCGGTATGCCGATATTGTGCAAACACTTGCCCCCATAGGGGACAGAAAACCCCCCACCTAGATTCATGAAATGAGCTGCAATGCTGCCATCTAGTGACTTTCAAAAACAGTTTTAGAAATAGAAATAGAAAATCCGATAACGATTCTTAACACGATATTACATAATAATGCAAATATTGGTCGGCCGATAATATCGGACATCCCTGGTGAGTGGTTTGGTGTGTTTTTGTGTGAATGCTATGTCGCTGTAGAGTAACGTTACCACCCATTATATGAAGCGATTATGACGATGTTGGTAAAAAAAAAAAAAAAACGTAGAGTAACGTTACCACCCATTACATGAAGCAATTATGACGATGTTGGTAAAAAAAACACTTTTTACTTTTAGACTTCTACCATTTATGGAAGATTGTTTTTCTGGCAGCTAAATGTTGTATTCTGCAAAAAAAATAAATATGGAAACATCAGTCTTAGATTTCTACCAGTTATGGAAGATTGTTTTTCTGGCAGCCAAATGTTGTATTCTGCAAAAAAAAATAAATATGGAAACATCAGTCACTCGGCAACAGTACAAGCTTATGCAAGGTAGCTCATCAAGATGTTCTGGGAAATGATGAAGACTTCCTTTAATTGAGCTCCTGTTGCTTTAAATGTCTCTATTGTGGCCGCAGCGGTGGCTTTATTGACTTCGGAGTATACAGCAGCTCTCAATAGCTCACAGTTTGATTTTTCTTCTGATGAGTGTAAATCAATACCGCGAATAATGAGGGCACTTTTGAGTTGAAACATTAACGTGAATTGATTTTTATTTTTTATATCCCTCCGAATAATGTCTGTTCGTGATGATGGTTATTACTGCCAGATGAAGATATGGTTTATGTCCAGGTTTAGTCTGGACACGTTATAGAACATAGAGCTGTTTAAATTTCTGTTAAATCTTCTGTGCTTCTATGAGTTTTGAAATGAATCTACATTTTTTAGAAATACATAGACAGAAAATGCAAACATACTGCATTTCAATGGGTAAATAAAGGACCTGCCTACTGTGCTTTTACTATCTCAGCGTCCTCTGAGGTCTTCCTCTTTCCTGGCAACACCATCTCTAACATCCTTTGTCCAATATATTTACTATCTCTCCTCCAAACCATCTCCACCTCACCTCTCAGACTTTACCTGTGGCTCGGGAACCGCATACGGCTCTTGTGTTCATGTCAAGTTTTTTTTAACGATACGCGATTCTCACGTATTGTTGAAGCTAATGACTTGGAGGGATAAAACTTGAACTCAAAAATATAAAGTTGAAGACAGGACACTTTTAACAGAGTAGGAGAGTTTTTTTTATTATTATTATTTTTAAGGGTCCATGTATGTTATGTGACTCTTTGCAGTACCACAGTAAAAATTGTGGCTCATGGTGGACTGGTTGGCCAACTCTGCTCTAAACCATACATCATAGCAGATCTTACTACTGTCCTATTAATATTCCCTTTCCCTTAATATTCCTTGCTGCTATTCTTATGTCACAAATCACCCCCGAGACTCGTATCCATCCAATGTAGCTTCATCATTACCTTCCTCTTCGATATACTCGATACTGAATGTACTGTTAATAGTATTAAGTAATACTAGGACGAATAAATGTCCACATTTATTTTATTGTCTTCCAGATTTTTTAGTATTAAAGTTCTCCATCAAACATATCAAGGTGAAATTACACCTTTATGGCTGAATAGAAGAAATGTGTAGTGTTTCAATAGGAAATGCTGTGGCAAAAGAAAAGTTAAGACAAGCTTTTCAACAGCACAAGTCAAAGACAAATCATTAGTGCGTAGACACAAATGGTCTTCTTCAGCATTTCTGCACACTGCAGCACTTGTTATTTTTAAAGTTCAACAGAGCCTCAGTGGCAGCAGGGTTCATGTGCACAGATGCAACTATGCAGAGCCCCATTTGGCACGATGCTGCTGCACTCTCAACAGTACAGTACCT